CTCATTCTTCTTCTTATTCTCCTCCCCTCCCCCCCAACCTAGCTATGATTTTCACCACATTCAGACCACCATGGCTACCAGACCATAGAACCAACTTGAAGCCCTTACTACCGTCTACACAACCCACCCAACGGTTGGCCCTAGCTCCAGGTGAATTGGTCGAAATTTCTCTCTAAAATTCGCTAGTCGCACAAACCAAAATTGCTGGCAACTTTCTTTCCGACGACTCTTGACCCAAGCCCAACATATTGGTAAATTCCCCACATCATGACTCATCATATCATGGTCCCCAAACACCTACTCAACTACCCAATCAACATTTGGGGCCAAACATTTCGAACGCAGTCATCATGCAGGTTTAAGGCGAAATTTCGACGACTATGGTTGACATTATGATCACGGACCACCATATTTAGCACTCTCTCATCATGGTGAAGCTATTACAACTATGGGTCTTTAACAATTTTGCACGAATCACGCAATTAATTTTGGGATAGTTTGAAGCATACGGGTTTAGATCCCCTTTCAATTGAATAGTATTTGTATCAAATTTATATCATAAGTGTTTGGAGTTGATGACATCAATTTGTGGTGTGAGCCTTGTTGGTTTTGGCGGCGGCGATGGTGATGGAGGCATAAAGAAGGAGAGGTGAAAATGATTGAGAAATAGTTTTTCTTTTTATTTTTAATATTTTAATAATTTATTTGGACTAATTTGCATTTTTTTAAAACTTTGGGCCTATAGTTGTAATTTATTCTTTATTTTTCCTTTATTTTTTGTTTTATTTAAATAGGATGGTATATTGATCATTTCACGTTAAAAATTGGTGAAAAGGATGTCCAACGCAAAGAAATGTGAAAGGTAATGACATTTTTCACAATAAACTTGAAATGTATGGACGTTTTGTGCCACTACATATTGAAAAAATGAAAAATTAAGGATTTTATTGAAATAATTAAGCATAATAGGGCAACAATTGTTCAAAAAATAATTATTGATTGTTTGTAAGAATTCATAATCCAATCATAATTTGTAGTTAAAACTAAACATTAATTTCAATTATATATTCACAATCTATACTAATTTATTGTTCACACATTTCATGAACCTGCTACCCATTATTCATTATTAACGAAGCCTGAAATGCAAGGACAAATGTTAATTAGTCTTGTAATTAATGCCACCAAATACACATTTATAATCTATAATATATTAAAATATCACATCAAGGGAAAATCATTTTTTGGACGATTTTGACCCTCATACAATTCAATTATTTCAATAATACATTACTTCGATATGAAATAAATGCTATATCATTATTATCATTTATGAAATTTGTGTTATTAATTTTCAGTTAATTAACATTCACATTAATCTAGATTCAATGAATTTCATTTGATGAATCTTGAATTACATGAATTTAGAGTTATTATAGATAAATTTATTCATATTCATGTATCTAGATATTTTAATAGGTGTTTAAATATATTTATTAATAATTAATTTTTATGTATCAAATATAATATAAAAAGATTGCTTATTTATAGTATTTCATCATTACAAAAAAATTGAATCATAGAAATTGACTTTTAAGAGTAAAATTTATGTACAATTTTCTAATCTTAAATTTTTAAGCTAAATTTTATTTTCTTTAATTCATCCGAGACTCATCAAATCCCCCCAACAAATTGATAATTTTAGAATACGTGCAATGCACGTTCAACTTTGATTAGTAGGAAATAAATGTAGTTATAAAATGATAAAGTAGTGTTAATATAAAATGATACAAGGTTATATTATAGAGGCTGTTCTCTATGCTTTGCATATGTCCTAAACTTTTTTTTTTTTTTTTGTCCTCGTACATTGTTGTCTATATATTATGTATAGTATTAATTAAAAAAAAAAGTTTAAGAAAAACTAAAAAGAAGAAAAGTGAGACGATGCCACTATTTGTCTCAATATTGAATCTTAAATCACACACTATGTAAATTAAAAATCCAAATTAATTAACTCATTTATTATTAATGGATATGATTGAATGTCGAATCAGGTTAACCGAGTCTTTGAAATGCAGATTGACAAAATAGTTGATAAAATTATTAATGACACATTCGTAAAAATAAAAATAAAAAATAAAAAAAATTCCCTCTTCATATGTGACACTTAATTTTTTATATATAGACATAAATTATAGAAATCGTGCTAGCTGTCAATTTTAGTAATTCGTACTCAATAAGGTTATAAGGAATCCCGTAGTTTTGCCACTCAGCCTTCCAATTAAATTCATCGTGACGCCAATCTCAATTTTAAAAATTGAAGATTTGCCTACCAAAGTTGAAATAAATCTCGACCAGGCACATAAATGAGAACGTGAAAAAAAAACAAGATAAAGCTTTTGTCTTCACATCATTAACCAACGTAAAATAGTATTCGGGTCAGAGTTGGATAATGTACAAGAATTTTTTGAGCTAACGATTAATCTTCTTTTGCCATTGAACCTCTCAATCAAATTCGTCATAATAACAATCAACTTTATGAAAGGAAAGTTTTTCTATCAAGATTGAAAAAAGAAACTCGAAACTTGATTTAAAGCATCGTTGAAAAAATAAGAAAGGAGTAAAACTTTTGTCTTCACATCGTTAACCAGCTTGGGATTAAAGATTACGTCTAAGTTTTGAGTTAGAGTCCAACGGTTTGTATGGTTTTAGTCATTTCATTAATTCGTACTAAAAAATGAGCTAATGAGTCCCCTTCTTCCACCATTGGTCCTCCTAAATCCTAATCAACTTCATAGCAACACCAATGAACTTTACGAATGTAAAATTTGCCCATCAAGAATCTCGACTATACTATGATAATGAAAAAAATTGAAAAACAAAGTTTTATCCAGCATCATTTGATATTAAGATCAAATATAGGATCCGAGCTTACATTTTATCATTTACATGAATTTCGTCATTTTAGTAATTTGAACTATATATGAGCTAATGACTCTTCTATTGCAATCGAACTTCACGATCAATTTTATTATCACACCAATCAACTTATGATGGATATAGGGTTCTTCCATGGATATTATTGAGAGAATCTCGACAACATTAATTAAAAATGAAAAACAAAGAAAAAAACTTCTGTCCTCACATCATTAATCAGTGTAAGATTGAAAAATAAGAGTTCAATAATTTTCATGGATACCATAGTTCAACTCTTTCATATTGAACGACGAGCTAATGACTCTTCTTCTTGGCCTCCAAATCGAATTCCCCACAACATTGATCAACTTCATGATTGAAAGGGTTCGTCGAGATTGAAAAATACTCGACTGGTGATATTAATCCTAAATTGAAAAAAGTAGAAAACTTCTTCCATTGCATCATTAATATACCGTAAGATCAAGGGCATGTTTGATATATATTATTTGAGAATATATAATGTGAAAAGTAATTTTTTGAGAATGTTTAGTTAAAAAGTGGAAAAAAGTTATGGGTGAATGTTCAAAAATATTTTATTGGATGAATGAGTTTAAAGAAAAATGAATTTTAAAGAATATGTCAAACAAAATGCTAAAAATCATGTAAATGAATTTAACAATAAAACTCAATTGGCCCCAGTTTGATGGCCATAATTTTGAAAAAATTGATATTTTGAATGATGATTTTTTAAAAAATGTATGGTTAAAAAGTAGGAAATTTTTTTGAATTAATATATAAAATATTTTATTATGTGAATGTATGATTAAAAATAAGAAAGAAAATTAAAAAATTTTGATTTAAAAGGAAATGGAAAAAGGCTCCTGCACAGGGCATCTCACATGGAGGGTGAACCCTACATGTGGACCTCATGTGTGGGGTCCATCCTATGTGTGTGTACCTGTACAGACTCTATGCAACAGAACTTGTGCAGGTAGCACAGCCCAAAGGAAATTAACAGGGACTTCAGTTTGATGGTAATATATAAATCGTTATGAGGAAAAAATGTCCTCTCCAGTCATTCATCAATGATTATCCGTTGCGTATATAACATCCAAAGTGATGCGATTTTAGTTTCCCAAGTCTCACTACAGCGAATTGGACACAATTAACCGTAGGCGCTTCACCCTTTTTATTTTTTCCCGTTCCGTCCCGCCCTTTCACTCCGTTTCACACCGTAGAAATAGTACAGTTATTACGTGGTTTTATGCCATGTACAAATTTTTTGCCCTAATAATCAGGAGAAAGAAAAAAATAAAATTATAGGGTTAGGGCTTCATTTTAATTTTCTTCTCCCATCAAAATTTCCCTTTTCTTAATTTTCCAAATTTATTCAGCTCTTTAATCTTCGATTTCCAAAAATAATTATTTGCTTTACTGTTTCCAATTTTTTATTTTTGGAGAATCTGATCAAAATTTCAATCTTCTAGGATTTCATACTTTTCGTAGATACATTTATATGATTTCAAGATCCGAGCTGTGCATTATAATATCTACTTTTGTGGTTTAATATTAAATTCAGTACATCTTTTTCTTCTTATTTCATGGTTAAAATTTTTGTTCTTATTTGAATTTTGGCTCTTTAATAACTGCGTTCGTACAATTACAGAGTCCTTTGTAGTGCCATTAGTTTATTTACATTCAACCAAAAACTGGGTTTGCATCGGTTTATTTTAAGGCACATTCTGAAGTATATTTTTATTTGGTGGCGATTTGAGTGTAGGGAGTAATGTTTAATATCTGCATCAAATTTTCAAGTGTTATGAGCTGTTTGGGAGTTTGAAGACGCCATTAGCTTTCCTAATAATTGCTGATTTTTCAATTTTATTATTGGTAGTTTAAAATTAATAGAACATATGTACTAGAATTCTAGTTCTTTTTTGGGAAATTTTAGTAATATTTTGGAGTGAATGTATCCTTCTGGAATGGATTATGGGCGTGAAAGTGGCATCGTGTTGATTCCCACCCGTTTTGTGTGGCCTTATGGTGGGAGGAGCGTGTATATCAGTGGCTCGTTCACAGGGTGAGAACTAATTAGAGCCACAAAAAAAAAAAAAAAATTGCTAACTGTTGATTTTACAGTTTCCTTAGTTATCATTTTAGGCTACCTTTTATTTTTTTGGTTAAATTGTTTGTACGGTTGATCGAATATACTTTAATTTGTTAAAGGTGGACCCAATGGCTGATGACTCCTCTTGAGGGATGCCCTACCGTGTTTCAGACAGTTTGTAGCCTGCCACCTGGTTATCACCAGGTTAGTTATGTACTGTGGTATTGCGTTACGTATTTTTCTAGTGCTTCATTAATGACTTGCTTTTTTCATGATTACTAGATATGATCAAAGCACCTATGAAAAATTGATTGTTCAACTAAGATTTATGTTTTGGATATTTCTTTATAAAGGATGATACTGATTTCAATGAATTTGGTTTCTTTCGAGGGGAGAGTTTGTTATGATATATATCTGAAGGATGCTGCCTGTGTATTCATATATCATTAATTTTATGACCATCTAAGATATATAGATTAATGATTTGCAAAGATAAGATTTGGTCGTCCCTGTGCTGATCTTGTGTTGAACTTGGGCTTACATTTGACTGAGCGTATGAAGTTGCAAAATTTTTATGTTTTTAGTTTTAGTTATCTTTTTGTATTTTGTTGGATAATTGACACTGGGGGATTCTTTAGCCCTTGGAAGAAACCAAGTTTCTGCTGGTAAAATGGCAATATATACCTTGAATGGATGGAGGGAGGATAAAGTGTAGATTTTGCACAAGAATTGTTAAGACCGAGAAGAAAAACTACGAGCAAGTACATTTAAATAAATGTTAAATGGCATTAATCAACTAAATTTGAGGCATATGAGAAGATTTAAATGTGTGAAAAGTATTTGTTATGCCCAATTTAAATGATCAATAAGTATTTAGAATTAGAGATTTGCAATGAAAAATACACTACTACATGGGCCAGATTAGGTGGCTGACAGGATAAAATTGTGCACGTGTCTCATGTAATCTGTTTATTTTATATTAATATGTTCTTCTTAAAATGCACTTTTCTACCAGAACAAAACTGTGTTTCTTTCTCTGGTTTGTCAAATGTCGATGTTCACATTGGAAAACAAACAAAAAACCTGTGCTGTTTAGGACCTATTACTGTGTCTGGTCACACTGTGACAACGAATTCTGCTGGGGGAAGAACTTATTCTATTCAAAAAATGGAATTGTGAGAAATCTCACTTTATCATCTATTTGCCAATGTAAAATTTGTTTTGATTATGTTGGGTTGTTCCTCAAAACCATATTTTTGGGAGATTTTTAACCTTATAAATATTGTTACTTGCAGTATAAATATGTTGTAGATGGTGAATGGCGACATGATGAGCACCAGCCTTTTATTAATAGTAACTTTGGAACTGTGAACACTGTCCTTTTAGCTAGGGAATCCAATTACCTTCCTGCAATCGTAAGTCCACAAATGCCTCCTGGTTCTAGCATGGATGTCGATAATGAGACCTTTCAGCATGTGGTACGTGATTAGTGTTTTGATATATTTTCGGAAATGTTTCCTGGTACTTTGTTTTTTCTAATGTGCTTTATGATTTGATCTGATACAAAATAGCTGGCTTGACAAAAACTATAGGCTTCGAAAGTCCAATACAAACATAGCTTGTCCCATCTCAAGTAACACATCTCTTTGGTCAAACAAAAAGTCCCTGGGCGACTGAATTTAATTTTAATTGTGTTGTTACTTGTCAAGGAAATCCTAATTTTCTATAATAGTCTAAAGTGATTGAATATTTTAGATTATGCAAGTTTTTTCTGTTTGGGGCCAGCATTATTTAGCCCGGACCAGTCTGGTAAAACTGGAGAACCGAACCTTGGTCTGCACCGATCATTGTATTTGGACTGGTTGGCAAGTGAACCGCCCTTGACCCATCTTAACCAGCTAGGTTTGGGAGAACCGGTGAACTGGTTTGACAAAAATCCCGCCTGTTCATTGAAAATTTACAAAATGTAGTGCCAAGATTCTAATTAAAACCTAAGTTTTGTAAATCTGATGTGTCTGCTAGGCTGCCCCATTGGTTGATACAATACCATGTATAAAGCTTATTTGACATTATAATTTATTTAGAGTATTTTAAATTTTTATTTGTCTTACATAATGCATAATGAACAAAATTTCATGAAAAATAGAAATGAAAGCTATGAAGCACGGATGTGCCTACTGAGGCGGCATGATCGTGTCCAATATGTGTTGTCTCGTCTTGAACTGAGACTCCTTGGACGCTCCAAGATGTTTGTCCAACACGACACATGTTGTGTTTAATTATTTATGTAATTTTTAGACTTCTAGCACTTGAGGGATACTTTAGAGACACCTCGGACCCATATCCAACATGCCACGTGACACATTCTATATTGTACCATTTTGAGAAATCTTCTACAAACTTCCTGTCTAATTTTTTCTACACCTTCTGTATACATTTTTCTTTCTCTAGCATAATATGTAGTTCAACTCAAAGTTATTTTAATATAATAAATAGCTACTCATCCGAAATAAGAAATTTCACCAACCTAATTAAAGAATTTAAATTGAAGTCTTTGTGTCATACTTTTTTGAACAATCTTGTCATTTCTATGTATCTTCGTACCCTTGTCCGTACTTTGTACAATGAAAGACTAAATAACTATATAGTACAGCCATATAAATATTTAACATATATGAAAAACTTATATCATTTAATTTCTTTTAAAGAGTAAAAAGTTTAGAATATTCCAATTACTAAATAAATTTTAAGTTAGAATCCATTTTAACTTTTTACTTATGATTATATCTAGGCCTTTTTAAAAAAAAATGTTTTATTTTAATTTTGACCCGATAATGACCCGCCACTTAAACCAGTGACCTGCTGACTCGGTGCCTTGGCCATCTGGTTGTTTCCCTCTTCCAATTATATTAGATCCATCTCTCTTTGTTCACTTATTTTAGAGCGTCTTCCTGTCTGTTACAGGTTCGTGTGTCAGATGGTACATTGCACGATCCCTTTAGAAAAATTTCAGCAGAAGATTTGCAGATGTCCCTACATCATATAGCTGTATTCATGTCCACACACATGGCTTATGAGTTGCTTCCGGAATCAGGCAAGGTCTGGACAATTTGCTTCTCCATTCATTTATTTCACATTGATATCCCTCTAGTTATTGATTTGAATTTCAATGATATAATTGCATATGGATTGCAGGTCATTGCTTTGGATGTCGACTTACCTGTGAAGCAAGCATTTCGTATTCTGCACGAGCAGGTATTTCTATCATTTATTTGAAGATTGAAGCCATCTCAATTCCTCTATGTATATGAGAAATATATTACCAATTGTTGTGGGTCGAATTCTGGCGTCATCTTGTTTACTAGCTTCATTATCTTGTATAGCTTTCTGGATGAATCCTGCAATACAATCATTTGGCAGAAAGCAACATTTGATTGTCATAAATAAAATGAAAAGTCTGCTAATATTTGGGCAGTTCAGTTCCACAAACAAGCAACTTGAGATGGAACAAGAAAATGAAAAATAAATTGAAATTAATGCGACCATCACAATTTTCTGTTCTTTGAGTTGCTGAACTTATTATCTGACCGTCAGCTGTAGTCATCGAAATGAGAAGTATTGTTTTTACAATGCAAATAGAGCTTTCTTTATTTTTCTAAAAGGATTTTGGTGGGATTGAGATCTCATATCTTCCTCAATGCAACTAAGAACCCATAACGCTGCATTCTGCAGCCAGCCAAGTTGTTAAATTGCCAATTCTTTAAGCTACCTTACCTCCAAGGAAAAAGTGTTTGAACTGTATCTATCATTTATCCATTCTTTTTGATGCTTATGTGCATTTACATTCTTTGGATACTGCATTTATATCCGGCTCATTTGACTGAGGTTCTTTCAGGGAATACCTATGGCTCCTTTATGGGACTTCAGCAAGGGGAAGTTTGTAGGAGTTCTTAGTGCACTGGATTTTATTTTAATTATGAGGGAGGTATGTTAGCTCTTTCACCATTTTTTGCAATGTAGATACTGAATATTAGCTTTGTAAGCTTTTTTGTCCTTCTGAGTTTGTTTCTTTCTTACTTTTCTAATGAGTAATTAGAGTTTCATGCACGACTTTGTTTACTTTTTATTAGATATAAATTTATGGTTTTGTTATTATTTGTTTTCCTCAGAGGAAATATTTGTCCCCGTTTACAGGTTGCCTAGTCTCTGATTTTTCAACATTATAATCTGGAAGGGAATATAGATATCTTTAGGTCCTTAAAAAGTGTTATTTATAGTATTTCTATTGGAACTCTATACAATGCAATGTCTGCGAAAATTAGGGATAAACACGAATATCTTTTATTATGACTTCATTCTACTAAGATTAAGAACTGCAGGCAGGGGTGGGTTAAAGGTGCTAACCATACTTTTGGTATTCCTATAAGATTTTGTACCAGCATACCTATTCACAGGCTTAAACTGTGGTTTTCCTAATGTTCTCTGATGCATATGGCAGCTTGGAAATCATGGTTCCAATCTCACGGAGGAAGAGCTTGAGACACACACAATATCTGCTTGGAAAGAAGCGAAATCATACATGAACAGACAAGTAAACGAGCAACAGGTTGCGTTTTTAGGACATCTTGTGCATGTGAGTGTTGGTTCTATTTGTCAAACCTCAACATACGGAATTTTGTGTTTGTGTTTTCTGTTTCACAAATGGACAGGCTGGATAATATATATACGAAACTACAAAGTATAAATTTGAACCAGTTAAAGATAAAATTTTAGTTGTACTGTTTTTGTCCTGATGATGCCTAGTTGCCCAATATAGATGAAACCATTTAATGTTTATTCTGTTTTTGCCTTGGGTATTTATGCATTTAGAATATCTTAGTAAATTATACAGGTTATGAAGAGGATAGGAGTTGAGTTGATGGATCATGAACGAGATTTAATGACTGGGCATGTCAATTATGCTTACGCTGGTTGAAAGAGTTGTTTTTCTTTCTTTTGCAACAAATTTTGTAACTACAGTCATATCTCGTATTAACCATACCTACAGGCTCGAGTCAAATTTGTTAAGTATATCTTTTTTTGATAGGTAATTAGATAATTTTATTAATCAAAATATGTTAATTATATCTAGCAAGCAACATTTTTTATGCTACTTTTGATCTTGATTAACATACATTGTACTATTATTCAGGCTGGGCCAGATGATAACATCAAAGAAGTTGCACTGAAAATTTTGCAAAACAATGTGGCTACAGTTCCTATTATTCATTCACCTTCAGAGGATGGATTATACCCACAGCTGCTACATTTAGCTTCTCTTTCTGCAGTACTAAAATGTGAGGAACATAATCACACAATCTTATATGTATAGACTTAATAGTTTTTGGTATCCTGTGATGATAGAGAGGAGAGTAGGAGGATAGTGCTCTACCCATTTTTTCTTAGTCTCACGTTGCCCGTCCACTTCTTCAAAGTTGGACTGTTATGATAGCTTATCAGGGGAACAGATCTCAAGCAGAAAAGAGGAAAAATACAAAATAGAGAAAAGGAAGGAAAGAAGAGTTGGCTGGTAAAGTTATGCACTTTATCCAGCAGGATAATGCTGTTTCCTTGCTGGATCAAGACATCCGCAAAAATTTGGGAAAAAAGTTTATTTTACCCTGTTGGCTCTGTGCAGGTCCTCGATCAAGCTTTTTTCTGTCTTTGTTCTTTAAAATTGAGGAAGTGAACTCTCGTGTACCCGTCGTCCAAGAGAATTGAGTAGAGCATATCCTCCTGCAGTCATGCTTTGGGTGTGTGGGCCAGAAAGTGATGCATTTTATCTTCATGACCGACGTTTTCTGACTTTTTACAGGTCTTTGTCGGTATTTCAGACATTCACTAGGGTTATTGCCAGCACTTCAAATGCCAATTTGTGAAATCCCTGTTGGAACTTGGGTTCCCAGAATTGAAGAGCCAAATGTTCAGCCGTTGGCTGTGTTGAGGCCGAGTGCTTCCCTTAGCGATGCACTGAATTTGTTAGTTCAAGGTGTGCATTTAATTCATTGAAGAGTTGGATACCCGAATTCCTTTTCCAGAAATTCTTAATAACTGCTGGCATTTTTTTGAATTTGTTTAATATTAAATTCCTGAATTCAATGCTCTTTAGGTACATCTTGTTGGTTAAAGAAGGAATTGTTTGGTATATAGTATATGTAGGCATCATCCTAAGGAATTGCTTTAAACAGTAACCATTTCGAAGTGTATATGTATGAAGCATTTAAATTTGGAAATAAAATTGTCTTGTATAGCCTGTCTTATGCTCGGCTTCTTTGCAGCTCGAGTAAGTTCAATTCCCATTGTTGACGAAAATTATTCATTGCTGGACGTATATTCTCGAAGGTTAGCAATGCAGTAATGGTACATAGGAAATTTTGTTTGTAGCTCTCTGGTTTGCGCCAGTCTCGTTTTCATAGTTTAAGCTTACTGTGCTCTTTTGACAGCGATATCACTGCTTTGGCCAAGGACAAAAGTTATGTGCACATCAATCTTGACGAAATGACTATTCATCAGGTTAGCACATTGAATGTGTTGCATACAATATCAATGGATCTTACAAGTTTTAGCTTTATCGCAATTCAGTGTTTTGGATATATTTGATACCTTCATTTACTAGTCCAAATCAGATATAAAGCATATCTGACTATGTCCCTGAGCTACCAGCTTTTTGAATTTCAGGCACTGCAGCTTGGAGAAAACCCTCATTCGCCTTGTGGGAATAACATTCAAAGATTTTACATGTGTTTGAGGTCGGACCCTCTGTTTAAAGTAATGGAGAAATTATCCAAGCCAGGTTAACTTTTCATCTCCTTGTGCTTTTCAAAATAATTCTCTGTCATTGGTCATTCGTTCCTTTCTCAGGCAAGTGTACAAATGTAGCTTGATTAAGGTTAAGCCTCGCGCATAATACACTGTATCTTTTGGTCAACTTGTTTCAATGCATGAGCTCTTTTGGGTAAAAAAACAATTTTAGGCACTCAACTTGTAGATACGTTTGTGTTAGTTGCTGAACTGGTAATTGAAGTTTGCTTCTTTGTTTCCGTTTGGCACTCAATTTAAATCCTTTAGTTTTTGAAACAAAATATCTGACTTGGACGCCCTCCATGTTGATTCAACATCAAATTGTCACAAATATTCCATTAGAAAAACTATGATTCAACATCATATTGTCACAAATATTCCATTAGAAAAACTATGATTCAACATCATATTGTCACAAATATTCCATTAGAAAAACTATGATTCAACATCATATTGTCACAAATATTCCATTAGAAAAACTATGATTCAACATCATATTGTCACAAATATTCCATTAGAAAAACTAACCGATTTTAACAGGAGGACCAGAAAGCAAAAACTAATGGCTTTTTAACTCTATTTGTTTTTCAGGTGTTCGACGGCTCATTGTCGTGGAGGCTGGAAGCAAGCGCATAGAAGGCATTGTTTCGCTGAGCGATATTTTTAGGTTTCTCTTGGGACTTTGAAAAGCTGGCAAGCGTGTATTTCATCATGGCATCGAAATGCTAATCCAACTCCTGGTGGAAGTTGTGTTCTTATGCTGTCTGATCTAGATTCTTTTGTATATAACATACAATTGGATTGGCCTTGACCTTGAAGAGGGACAGGTTTATTAGGTGAATATGCTCAGGAATGAAGCATGTAAATTGTAATGGTGGGATTTTCCTGGATCCTTCTGGTTTCCCCTCACCCTGAATTGTGTGGCTAATATAGCTGCCATTTTTGTGGAAAAGAAAGTGGGGGCTGTTAACAGTTCCTGCTATTTCCGGTGTTTTATGCGTAGTTCTTGGCCTTGTTCTGGTTAAAAAATCAGTCTTGGAAAAAAATGTATTGATTTGGAGAATTTTCAGTCGAGAAATATTTTTTTACTATGAAATGCTGAATTGCTGCTAATGTAACAAAAAGTCACAAATAATAGTGTGAGATTATTACGTGGCAATTTGAAAGTACATTACTGAGTTAATTGTCCCGATAATCACTGAACTTATGTTTGTGCTTTTGATTGATCACTAAAGTTTTAGATATCGAGTTTTGGCTAGTAAATTTATCAAAATGTTGGATGTTATTCAATGGCATGACATTCGTTACTCAACTTTTAACGCTATAACGGAATTAGTGACATGGTAGATGGAATGCACAAGTGGCGTAACTCACCGCACACCAAATTGTCCTGTAAGAAAAAAGTTTTCGATTGTTCATTATACTTTTAAAGACGTTTTTTATTGTTCACTATAATTTAAGATGGTTGAGTTTTGTTCACTAAATTTGTAAAAGTGGTGCTAGCCCGTTCTAAAAATTTAGAAATGTTACAAGTATCATTTTCATACAACAAAATAATTTTGCAACATGTTATAAGGGAATGTTCAAAGATATTTTGCAATATACTTGAGTTCTGTTGTATTTCTTTTCATGTTTGATCTATGATCTACATTACTAGCAATAAAATATTAAAGATTCTGATAATTAATTTTAACAAAAATATGTATGACATTCACAAAAATAAAAAAAATAAAAAAATAAAAATCCATAATCTATATTAGCAACAAAAAACATACACCAAAAACCGTCAATATTCACGTGGAGCAAAAAACATGTGCCTAAAACCATAAAGTAAATCCAATATTTCTGGTGTATGTGTTTTGGATTGTTTTTGGAATATGTTTTTGGCTGTACAGAAATATTGGATGGTTTTTGATGCATGCTTTTTGCCGTTAATGTATATTATGAATTTTTTTGTGAATGTCATACATATTTTTTCTTAAAATTAGTCATCAAAATCGTCAATATTTTCTTCTTGCTAATATAAATTATAGATCAAATATGGAGAGAATTGCAGCAAAACTCAAGTATATTGCAAAATGTGTTGAAATGTTCCCTTATAACATGTTACGAAATTATTTTGTTATATGAAAATGATACTTGGAACAACATTCCTAAATTTTCAGAATAGGTCGACATTAGTTTTACAAGTTTAGTGGCCAAAACATGATCAACTTAAAATATAGTGAGCAATCAAAGACCATTTTTTTAAAGTACAGTAAGCAATCAAATATGCTTATTGTTACATGGCAATTTGGTGTGGCGTGAGTTATGTCACATGTGCATTATGTCTGTCATATCACCATTTTCGTTAGAGTTGAATAATGGACATCATGGCAACATCCAACATTTTAATATGTTTAGTGGTCAAAATTCGACATCTAAAACTTTAGTGAGTAGTCGAGAACATAGATATAAGTTCAATGATTTTTGGGACTATTAACTCTAAATTAGTTCTAAAATTGAAATTAAATTTTGTTTAAAATTTTTTAGTCTAAGTTTCAAAAAGTTTTTAGTCTAAGCCTATCTACAAAAAAGATATTTTTTTAAACTTATTTTTAATTACATAATTTTTTTAATAAAATAATTTTACACCTTAATTCGTAACTACGTGTAGGGTGGAAGAAAATAATTTTTTTATATTTTTGTTGTTTAAAGTTCGTTTCACTTTTAAACTTTTATTTTCTATTATCTTTTGAAGTCATTTGACGAAATTGTCACTTGAAATAAAAACAAAATAAGAGCGATTGCACAAAATTTACTGTCCTTTTAAACTTATTTTGTCCAGAAGGATCATTTGTGGAAAAAAAAAAAAGAATTTAAAAAAAATAAAATAAAATCTTGAGACCATTAACACTACATTTAAAAGATTTGAACCAAAAATTCAATTTGGGCAAAAGTTTGGAACCATTTGCACCAATTTCCCTACCGCGTACATAAGTTTTACATAGACTAGGTCACCAGACAGAAATGGAAGGACTTACGGAAGATGAGAAAAGGGCACTGAGAGGAAGCAAATTTGCGCCTCTTCCATCTGCTTCCGCTCCTTCCCGATCCCTACCAAGGTTTCCACCCATGTATCTATGAATTTACTGCGTGTGATTACAATAGTTGTGTTTATATATACTCGCATGTGATATCTGTATGCATGAGTATAAAATTGGGTGTAATATGTAGGTTAGCTCACCCTGGGGGGCCAGTGAAGACTAATAAGGCGGCAGCATTGGCGAAATTTCTTGAACGGAAGCTTCAGGATCCAAGTGGGTTGGCCTCTGTCGACCCAAAGCTTGTTGAATTGGCTGTGAAAAATGCCAAACAAACTGTTCAATCCAGTATGAATTTCTCATCTTTTTTCTTTGAATAATGCTTGTGGTACATGGAGGTGTCCAACGGGGTGTCCAAAATGGACACCCGGCGCCTCGGCCAATGGGCCCCGGCGTGGCAGGGCCGAGGCGCCATGGACACCCCGTTGGATACTGCAATGTACCCATAGCATGATTGTTTTTCTTTATGCTCAAATGGACACCCTGTTGGATACCGCAATGTACCCATAGCATGATTGTTTTTCTTTATGCTCAAGTATTTGTGTTTAATTTTAGTATTATAAAAGCTAGTATGCAAGAATTATCTTTCTTTTGGGCCAGTTTTCTGGATATTTGTTATGCTTATTGAATTGGGTTTGTGAAATAGTTTTGTGTATGTTTGTTTTTCAGACGTTGGGTATTGTTTGTTATAGGCTGTGTTGTTGGCTTGGGATGGATCTGAGGGCTGAAGAATTGAATCTGAGCAGATTCCTCCTCTGGAACTAGGTCAATGGAACTTATTTTCATTATTCCTTTGTGTTTTATTTCGTTAATTCTGCATAACACCGTACCTTTTACCTTCCTGTTTGCCGAGGGATCTTTGAGATGAACTAATTTATCATCTTGGGTGAAATTGTGTATATTCCTGTTAGTCATGACTCCAATTCCTTTCTCGTCTTCTTTCTTCCAAGGAGGGATCTGCCATTATCGGTCATTGTGATGATAGTGCTAGTTATTTTCCAGTGGCCTTTGTCATCCTTTGTGCACTGATCTGGTCTGGACTTGACCTGTTTTTAAACCTCCACTATTTCAGATGATAGTTATGGACATCCATGTCCGGTAATGCCCGAAAATATGAACACTCCTTTCACTTTAGAGAGAATAAAACTTCAACAATTCATAAATCCTGATTTGTAAAGTTGAAAATGTGCCTCGCCTACATGTTTTGTTCCCATCCTTAACAATTCGTCACCCTGAGAGAGTTAAAGTTCAAAAAAGGATCAAGACCAGATTGGTGTATCAAGTATGGCAAAGACAATTGCAAAATTACTTGAAGTATCACTGAGATCACAGATTTTGGTAGAAAGAAAACCATTGTTTACCTTTTAAAAAGAAAACACGAGAAAGGAATTGGTCTCAAGACTCTAATTAGATTGTGCATGACGTCACCCTAGACGAGAGTTTAGATCCTCTCAGAGATCCTATGTCAAACAAGAAGGCAAATGGTATTGCATTAAGCAGAATTTACGAAGATAAAGAAAATAAAAGACAAATGGAATAATTAAAGTGATTTTTGCGATAGTAGTTCATGAGAGGACATGTTGTAAGATGCAACTCTTGGCAACAAGATGATACCAATTTTTTAATAAGTCTTGCAATAGCAATTGGGATGCTTCTACTTTTGACCAACTAAATCCCTTCGATTTCTTTACTCTCCAAATTATTGGGCTTGCCATATCAACATATGAAGCCAAGTATGTAGCAGCAGCCTCAAGTGTATGTCAATTTGATAATTTTCACTTATCAACTTAGTGATGAATCAATGCGACATGGTAGAAATAACCACTTTAATATGGCGTTTAAATTCCACGCAATCAAGAGTAGAAGAGTGATCTATTTTACATGTTTGAAGATCAAGTGGCAGATCCATTCACAGAAGCATTTAAGCTGGATTCTTTCGTTAAGTTCAAGAATATGATTGGAGTCGGCAAAATCTGACTTAAGTTGATGATAATGATAACCCTGATTTTGCCCTAGTCTAGATAGAATTATAGTGTCTATCTGATAGCAAAGTTGTTGGACTTGATACTATTTCATCATTGTTCTGGTCCTGTAAACGCAAGACTGTTGTGGGCAATTTTTATTTAGAGTGAACTGAATAAAATTTATATATTTCCCTCTAAAATATTTTTCTTTATCCGTATATTGCTGTAATTCCATCAGGAATTGGAAATGTCGATTCAAATTTGGTAACCTGGATTTAAATGAGCCAATTGCAGCCTCTGTATAACCTTCCCTAATTAATTACCCCTCATTATTATTCTGGACATCAGTTCACATTCTTGTCTTCACTGCATATATTCTACGTGAGTTCCATTAACTCATATTGCCTAATCAAGATGGCGAAATTTAGTTGTTGCCGTAAGTGGTTGTTACTTATTGTGGGAAAGTTGATTTCTTGTTTTGTTCTTCCAATGCGAATTATTCAGGTTGGGCCTCAACTTCAGGAAGGATAGTTCATTACGTTAATTATTTTAGCGACTCTGAGGTGTGTTATTGTATTTGATGGTCATTTCAAAAGCATGAGAATTTTGTTTTATATTTGATCTCTTCTCTGTACTCAACTATATGGACTACCGGATTTCTTGGGAACTTGACAGGATCCTGTAGAAGAGGAGGAGGTAAAGACCTCTTTGTCAAAGAAACACAAGAAGAAGAAGAAGAAGAAGAAGAAGGAGGAGGAGGAGGAGGAAAAGAATAGAAACAATAAACAGAAAGTATTCTTTTTGGCTTTCATTTTACTTCATTGTCATATTCGATGGCATTCAATTGCTGAGTTCAGCTTGGCTTTAAATCTATCTTTTGCAGAAATTGGAGGACTCTGGTTGTGATACATCAAAAAGACGTGACAAGAAGCTGAAATTATGATCATATGAGATTTAGGAGGAGATTCTTCCAGGCTTTAGAAGCTGAAAGATACCGACTAGAGAGAGAGGCGTTTTCCTCGCTTTTTAAAAAAAAAATAAAAATGGCTGGAATATATAACAAGAACTAGACTAATTACTGGTTAGATTTCGTTGGCATTCCTATTATTCATCGGGTGACTTGAAAAGCCATGCTAGTTGCCATTTATGTTTCCCTACTTTTTGAAATTCATGGTTTTGCCAACATTTTCGAAGATGCCAGGGAATGACAAGACATGGGATGGTAGGCTTGACGTGATTCTTTTTTCTTGCTATCTATCTGATGAGCTTTTCGCTATGTTCAAAAAAAGGTTTAGATGATCAATTATTCCGTGTGTACAGGGAATAATTTCATAGATGTTCTATAGGGCAGTCACATGGGGTGGGCCTCCATGTGGGCTCCATTGCTGTGTGTATTCTATAAAATATCTGTATAAATTTGGGCAACTTAACAAAAAATCCTTAAAATCAGAGATGTTTTGAAAAATCATATGAAAAGTTTTTTGAAAATAAAAAATACTGTATAAAATGAAAAAGTGACACAATGTCACTTTTTTTTAAAGAAAATAAAAAAGTGACACAAACTTAAAAAAATGACAAACACAAAAAAAGTGACAACCGCTTAAAATTAGAGTTGTTTTGAAAAATCTTATGAAAAGTTTTTTGGAATTAAAAAATACTGGGTAAAATGAAAAAGTGACACATTATCACTCTTTTTTATAAAAAAAATTTGTCATTTTAAAAAAACAATAATAAAAAAGTGATACAAAATCCAAAAAATGACACAAAAATAGCACCATTCATTTGTGCAGAACCAGTAATCATATTCTTAACATAATCAGCATATCCAGAACAATTCACACGATCATAATAACGGTTTTTAACATAATCAGCATGTCCATTGGACATGCTAATTAAATTAAGAAAATATAACATATCATGTCACTTTTTATTTTATTAAATAAGTGACAAAAATTTAAAAGATGACGAAAACTCTAAAAACGTGACAATGTCACTTTTGAAAGTTTAGTGTCACATTTTTATTAAAAAATGACATACAATGTCACTTATATTAAAAAGTGATATTTGTTATTAAACAAAATTGATAGAAATTTCAAGAACGTGATTGATAAAAAAGTGACAAACATTAAAAAAAAGAGACAAAATTTAAAAAAAGTGACAAATACTAAAAAAAGCGACAAAAATTTAAAAAGGTGATGAAAATTTAAAAAGTGTCTAAAATTTAAAAGAGTGACACAAATTGAAAAAAGCTACACAGATTTAAAAAAAAAAAAGACAGAAAATAAAAAGTGACAAACAGTCAAAAAAGTGAAGTAAATTAAAAAAAAGTGACAAAACTTAAAAAAAGTGATGAAACATCGATTAAAACATTAAAATATATCATTTTATGCAAATTCAATCGAAACTACAATTGAAAATGCCCAACAACTACCTGCATAAAATTGATTCAATGCAAACACAATCATTACAAACATAAATACTCTTTAAGCCAAACCAAGGAATTGCCACAGAAGCATCAGACGAGAAACACTCGAATGATCTAATGGATTGCGAGATAGAACATGGTTCATGATTGTAGTTCCATACGTAAAAAAAAATCCAATTGAAACCTATGTTTGTCACTTAAAAAAAGTGATTGAAATTTTTAAAAAGTAACAAAATTAAAAAAAGTGACCAGCATTAGTCAAGAAAGTGACAAAAATTCAAAAAAGTGACAACACTAATAAAAACCTATGTTTGTCACTCAAAAAAAGTGACGGAATTTCAAAAAATTAACAAACAATAAAAAAGTTTTTAAGTTTTAAAAAAGTGACAAATACACAAACAAAAAGGAACAAAACACCAATCAAAACCTATATTTGTTACACAAAAAGAAACAGAAATTTAAAAAATGTAACAAACAATAAAAAGTGACAAAAAATTTAAACCCAAAAAAAAATGGCAAGCACTATCCAAAAATGTGGCAATTATTCAAAAAGTTACGAAAACTAAAAAAGTGACAAATTATCGATTAAAACCTATGTGTCACTCTAAAAGTGACA